CAAAAACCGGATTAACCGGTCTAAGACCGGTCTTTCTGAGGGCCAACTGAGGGCTGAACATTTGAACTAATTGTATATTTATTTATGTCTTTGATGAGAACCAAATAATAACATTAAAGTGTGTTCATCATCACAGTGACCGCCTCCACTTCGTCACCATTGCCACCACCAACCACCACCAACCACCACCTCCCGCAATCATCATTCAAACGTTCAACGTTCAACGTTCAACTGTCGCCAACCACCATAACGACAACTCGGCAACGCCACGTCATCAGCCTAACGAGCGAACGACGACGGACTTGCACGCCAACGGACATTCTAGGTGAGTAGCGTATCCCCCTCCCTCTTCTTTTCTCACACGAGAAGCAGGGGTCACTTACCAACCAACAACTGACAAACGACGATGAGACATGGATGAACATTGGTGGTACACGGGCGAACAACGATGACACATGGATGGATGACGACGTGGCACATCAACGGATGCGCCACATTGTCCAGACAATGACGACTTCCGTTGTCATCTACATTACTAGAGGTGAGCAATGTGACGCTCTTCCCCTCACCTTTTTTCACACAAAGCGCAGCGGCAAGGGCATGTCCAAGGCATGTCGTTACGGCGATGTGGCTGCAAGCCAACAACCACCAGCTCCCTGTTCGACCACCCCTAGTCCTCTGCACTCGCTAACGGCAATGACGACATGGCCACACCACGTCATCAGCTGAATAGATGCAGTGAGCACCCGTCGTGTTGATCATATGAAGACGATTTGGCATGTCAACCGTTGACGTGCCACGTCGTCCAGACGGCGTCATTGTCACTGTTTCAAATCAGGTGAGCCTCATGACTCCTTTCTCTCTCCTTTGTTCACGAGAAACAGGGGCGACGTGGCAACGGATGCACAAACGACGACACTCAATGATGACAAAAGACTGTCAACGTTCAAGTGAGCTAATAAACCCATCCCCCGCTCCTTGTGTCAAACAAGAAAAAGGGTGACGTCGCCGTCAGCGCCTACAACATGGCACGTTCGTTGACGTCGATCCAGGTGAGCGATGTGACTCCCTTCCCCCTCTCCTTCTTTGACATGAGAAGCAGGGGCCATGTCACTGACGGCGACGTGTCAGTGACATGGCAACCAATAACCGACGAACGGTGACGTTTACACTCAGACAAACAACGACGACAGACAATACACGGATGAATGACAATGTATGGCGTATGTAGATGATGACCTGGTGCATCAACGAATGGTAAAGGTGGATGTGAAGACACCTGTGGTTACTGTTACCCATGCACATTGCTACGAAGTCGCATACGCTGACCGATTTGTACACTAAAATACATAATATTGTTGTTACATGGCCCTACAAAGACCGGTTTAGACCAGTCCCAAACCGGTTAAGACCAGAACTGGTTAAAACCGGTCTTGTAACCGCAAAAGACCGCAAAAGACCGGTCTGTTGTGGTTCGGTCTGGTTTTTTGAAGTTTCTCCA